GCTGCACTGAGGCATTGGGTTCCTGGGGACTTCCTGAGCTCCATGCACCACCACTACCCCACAGCATCTTTTCCCTGTCTCCTCTGGCTGAAACCCCAGAGCTCAGCACCATCTCCATCCCCGGCTAGCTGCCCCCACCTGGGGCAGGATTAGGCCTTTCCTTTGTCCTTGCTGCCACCCAGGGAAAGGGCTTCCCTATTCCTGCCTTCTGCAGGGTCTCCTCTGCTGGGCTCAGCCCTTAGCTTTGAGCCCATGCCAGGTGCAGATGAACCTTTGGGCATTTCTGCAGCTAACCACGACATTTTGGCTGGAATGGGAATTCCAGGTATTCCAGAACCCGCATGGCCAGCGGGAGGGGAGTTCTGGCATTGAAGCCTGGTGCACGCTCCTTTCCATCCTCAGTCCAGTGCTGGTAGCCATGGAAACAGGCTGGAAGCAGAGATGAGGGACTGGCAGATCGCAGCTGCTCTCAGGGTTGTCCCTGTGGCCCTGAATGCTTCGGGATCCACCCCGGCATCCCCAGCCCCATCCTATCTGTGGGCATCCCTCACCCTGGCCCTGCCGCCGCGGTACCTGGTGGGGGAACAGAACAATCCCTGCTGGCCGCCAGGGTCCCCACGCTCTCTCTATCTCCGCAGGCGAGCGCGTTTCAAGCGCTCCAACAGCGTGACAGCGGGCGTGCAGGCGGACCTGGAGCTCGAGGGCTTCACCGGCCTGGCCGTGGCCACCGAGGACAAAGCCCTGCAGTTCGGGCGGCCCTTCCAGCGGCACTCGTCGGAGCCCGAGTCGGGCCGGCAGTATGCCGTGTACAAGACGGTGCACACGCAGGGGCAGTGGGCGTACCGCGAGGATTACCAGCTGCAGTACGACACGGTGGAGGTGCCCCGGCGGGAAGCTTGGATAGACCGGGGCTCCCGCAGCCTCCCTGACTCTGGCCGCGCCTCTCCGTGCCACCGCGACGGGGAGTGGTTCATCAAACTGCTGCAGGCAGAGGTGGAGAAGATGGAGGGCTGGTGCCAGCAGATGGAGAGGGAGGCGGAGGACTATGACCTGCCCGAGGAGAGTGAGTCGGGTGGGGTGTCGCAGCAAAGAGAGGGGCTGGGGATTCTGCAGAGCTGGGGGGGCACAGTCATTGTCCTGCAGTCCTTCCACCTTGGAGCATCTTCCCTGCCAAGGCTAAAGAGGTTGGGTGAGGGCAAGAAACACTGGGAAACCCTCTGGGGCCAGAGGGATATGAAGGAGAGAAGAGACATGATGTGTTGGAGGGCTCTGAGCTGCTTGTGACTGTCTGCTCTCCCTCCAGTCCTGGAGAAGATCCGGAGCGCTGTGGGCAGTGCCCAGCTCCTCATGTCCCAGAAGGTGCAGCAGTTCTACCGCCTCTGCCAGCAGAACATGGTGAGTGTGGGCAGCGGTGTCAGGGGTCAGCTGTGGTGGGGAGGGGGATGTCTCATACTCTCAGCCAGTGACTGTGGACCACCATGCAGGAGAGCTGGATATGGAGCCCCCAGCACAGGGGGGTGGGAAGGCACTATGGCTAGCAGAGCCAATGTCCCAGCAATGGACGAAGATGACACTGTGTTCCTCTGTCCCCACAGGATCCCAATGCATTCCCTGTGCCCACTTTCCAAGACCTGGCTGGCTTCTGGGACCTCCTGCAGCTCTCCATTGAGGATGTCAGCATGAAGTTTGGGGAGCTTCAGCAGCTCAAAGCCAATGGGTGGAAGATCATGGAGCCCAAGGTAAGGGCAGGGCCCTGCCACTGGCACTTGTACCTGTCACTCTCCTCAATCCCCAAGCACATCTGCACTGAAACCACTGCTGGGCTCTCACTGGTGACTGTTTAGTCAAGTAGCAAACCCTTGAAAAACAGAGCTGGGAAAAAGAGAGGCTAGAGAAGGGCTGTTCTCCCACTGACGTATGCCAGCTGCCTGCAAAGGGCTTGGCAGGGTCCTGGCACGGGATGGATAAAGGGATGTGCAACCCTTGCAACCTGTGGGAGGGTTTGTGAAGCCTCTCACCATGGCTTTGGCTTTGGCACCCATAGCAGCAGCTGTGGTGAGCCCGTTGGAATGCCCACTCCTGGGAAGTCCCAGCCTGAAGCCCCTGTTGTCTGTGCAGGAGGAGAAGAAGGTGCCTCCCCCGATACCAAAGAAGCCGCCCCGCTCCAAGGTGCACCCGGTGAAGGAGCGCTCCCTGGACTCGGTGGACCGGCAGCGGCAGGAGGCCCGCAAGCGGCTCCTGGCAGCCAAGCGAGCCGCCTCCTTCCGCCAGAGCTCGGCCACTGAGAGCGCGGACAGCATCGAGATCTACATCCCCGAGGCGCAGACCCGGCTGTGACCGCAGCCTCCGCTTTTCTACCCGGACTGGACGGCACGGCCGTAGCTCACTGTGATGAGGGGCCGCGGGGACACCCTGGGGCAGCTCTTGGCCCCACTCACAGCTTCTCTCTTTTCTATCTTAGCCCTTTCGTGGATCCAACGGCGGGTGATCGCAAAGCCCAGTTCTGCCCTGTCCCCTTGCCCCCTGCCCGCATGCCCCTGCCAGCCTCTCCTGGGGTCCAGGGCTCTCCCTCCCTCTGCCCTCCCTGGGGCTGTGTCCCAGCTTTCTGTCCCCTTCCCACTCCCCAGCCCTTCTGCACACCCGCCTCTGCATCCCAACCCAAAGAGAGGTGACCTTTGGCACCCAGCCCTGCTGGGCTGGAGGGGAGGGGGCTGCAGGCAGGCCCCCCCGCCTCTCTGTACTCAGTGCAATCCCCTGGTGTGTGGTGGGGACAAGCCCCCAGCCCTGCCCAGCCACAGCCCCCAGCCCTGCCCTGCTGGCACAAGGCTTTGAGATGTGGTGGGGACAAAGGGGTCCCCCTCGCTGCTCCCTCCGCCTTCGGCTCAGGTGCCATGGGGACCCAGGGCTCCCTCCCCTGTATACATATATAAATATAACCCAAGGAATAAACCAGAAACTACACGTGACCAGCGCTGTGTCCTGCCTGGAGTTCGGACCAGAGCAGCAGATGCCCCCGGTCACGGCGAGCCACCCTGCTTCCCTCGCACGGAGCATCGCCACACGCTTCTCCCCTTCCCGCTCAGCCCTCCTTCCCCTCAGTCCATCCCTCATCTGTCTGTCCTTCCCTTCTGCCAGCCTGGAGTCCAGGAGCACCTCTGCAATGTGACAGGGACTGGCCATAGTCCTGCCGTGCCTTGCTGCAGGTGGGAGATGCTTCCCCAGCGAGCCTGTTCCCACCTGCAGTGACAAGGAGCACACCTGTGCTTGGCACCAGTGGGTGGGACAGGAGTGTGAACATGGCCAGCAGCTGCTCCTTCAGTGTGGAGCTAGAGACCCCCTCAGGGGGTCACCCTTTCCCCCCGAGCTTCTGGAGCCCTGTGGGATGGGACCCCAGGATAGGGCTGTCATGTACCTGATGCCTCTCAGGGCCAAGGGACACCCTGGGGTGTGGCTGTTCCCAGCTCCCCCACCACTGTGCACAGAGCCAGGAGCAGGGTGGAGGGTCCCCTCCAGGGCAGAGCAGCGTGGTGGGGCAGGAGGCTGCATCTGCCTCATCCCTGTTCTTAACCCCGTTCTCCAAGCATCCTGTCAAGAAAAGTGTCACTTTTGGTGTCAGAGGGGGGAGGAGCCCACCCCCATCCCTCACTCTGCCATGCCAGCAGCCCCATGCAGCATCACCAGCCATCCTCCAGGGCAGGGCCAGTGGGTGCCAGGAAGCTCCTGAAATCTGGGGCCAAACCTTGCCCAGGCCCTCAGGCAGGGTGATGGGATCAGAGGCAGCTGGGGGACACCTTGCTGGGGTCCCTCGCTCCTGGGCGTCCATCGGTGCTAAACACCTCCATGATGGCAGCACCAACTCAGCCACCCAAAGCCCTTCCCCACCCCACTCCCCCTGCACCCTGGATTTAGGGATGTGCCTGGGAAGGGCCCCCGGCCAGCGCCGTGCAGTGACCGTGACACGTGGCTCCCTTTTTATTGTAACGAACCGTCGCAATTAATAAAGATGACTTTGGTTACTCCGGGCCAGCGGCCACTTCCCTGCGGGGACATGGCTGGCACCGGGCTCGCCTTTCACCTGTCTCACATCCTTTTGTATCCATGGGGTGGGAATGCATGTCTGTGGTGTGGGAAATTGGTGACTGTGGGGTGGGAGAGGGGCTTGCAGATCCCCCATGGAGATCCCCTCATGGGTCTCTTCCAGTGGGGTCTCTGCTTCTGAGTCTCTCCCCATGGACCTCCTCCTGTGGGTGTCTCTTTGTGGATCTCTCCCCGTGACTCCCAGCGTGAGTCTCCCACTGTGACACTCCCTGTGACACCCCCGTGGGTGTCTCTCTGTGACACTCCTCGTGACTCCCGCATGACGTCTCCCCGTGGCTCTCCCCACCAAGACACCCCCCTGTGACTCTTGCATGTCTCTGAATCGTCCCTGGGTTCTCCCCTGGGACTCCTCCCGTGACTCTCCCTGTGTGTCTTCTAGTGGGTGACACTCCGTGACTCTGGCTGGGGGTCTCGCCCTCTGGGTGTCTCTCCGTGGCTCCCCCCGTGACTCTTCCGGGGGTGTCTCCCACCTCTCCGTAACACCACTGTGGGTGCCTCTCTGTCACCTCCCCTGGCTTCTCCCGCGTGGCTCCTTCCGTGACAACCCCTTGTCCCCCGCATGACTCCCCTCCGTGTTCCCCCGTGTATTCCCTGTCTCCCCTGATGACTCCCCATCGTGCCCCCTCCATGTTTCTCCCCGTGTGCCCCATGACTCCGCTCGCGTCCCCCCATGTCCCTCATGACTCCTCTCAGTTTCGCCCCCCCGTGTGCCCCCAGTGTCCCCTATGATTCCCCCCCGTGTTCCCCCAGTGTCCCCCCCGTGTCGCCAGCCGTTGTCGTTCCTCCCGCGTTGCGGTTCCCGCGCTGTCCGCCAGGAGGCAGCGCCGCCCCGCCGAGCCCTCACGGCCGTGACCGGAACGGGCGGGGCTGGGCCCGGGTGAGCGGGGCCGGGGCCGGGGCCGGGGACGGGCGGGGGTCCCGGCGCGGCCCAGGCGGGTCCCCATTCCCTGAGGCCAGCGCTGAGGCCCCGGTGCGAGCGGTGACCGCCGCGTCCCGCCCCGGGAGGCATGTGGTCCGTGCTGTGGGCGGCCGTGCGCTCCAAGGCCCCGTACGTCACCTTCCCGGTGGCCTTCGTGGTGGGGCTGGTGGGCTCCCAGCTGGAGTGGTTCCTGCGCGGAGACCCCCCCGCCCAGGAGGAGAAGAGCATCTCGGAGCAGCGGGAGGACCGCAAGCTGCAGGAGATCGTGGGCGAGGACCTGACCAAGGTGGTGAGCCTGAAGGACAAGCTGGAGTTCGCCCCTCGCGCCGTGCTCAACAGGAACCGCCCCGAAAAGAGTTAATAAAGGGTGGTTTGGACAAAGGCGGTGCCCTGGAGCGGCTGCTGGGGACTACCGAGGCACATATACTGCTTCCACCAGCCTCCCTCCTGTACCTGCTGCTCCTCACCCTCCCGGGCACTCTAAGAGTCAGGTTTGCCCAGCCCATGGATTTGCTGAAGGTACCCAGCGCTTGGTGGCAGAGTGGGCCAGGAACCGTGCATGGAGGCGGAGCGAGTCTGAAACTCCTCAGCTCACACCAGGCCTGGCTCCTGAACCACAAAATACTCTCAGCCTGGTTCCATCTGTGTCTCCTCAGGTTTAATTTCTTCTATGCTGTGAAGGTAGAAGAATGGGTTGGGTTCAGGCTGACCACCAGTGAAAGAAAGAACTGCTGCCCTGCTTCCAGATCCCCTGTGGCTCTTGATGAACCCCAATACGCCAGCAGTCATGGGGCTCTCTGGGGACCCCCTCCCTCCATCATCCCTCCCAGGAATGGTGACAGGGGCGATGAAAGTCTTGGTTCTCCATTGTCATGCTCTGAGCATGGTGATGTGTTGGGAATGAAGGGATCTCTGCCCTCTGCACAATAAACTTCTGTCAATCCTTGGGCCTCCGTGTCTTCTGCATCAGCACAGCCAAGCCCTGTTTCTGAGCATGTCTCTGCTCCCTCCGTGTTCAAGAAACAACTGCTGCAGTGGGACAAAGACCATCGCTATTCCTGGCTGGGCACTGGCCTCCAGGCCTGGCAGCAGGGTGGTGGGCAGGAAGGAGGAGGAGGCACCAAATTCCCAGCCCATGATGTGGCGGTGCCTCCCTCCCAGCTCCCCCAGCTGTGTCATCTGCTTCCCTTTGACCTCTTTATCTTGAGGAGAAGGGCTGTGACGACATAGGGTGGGATCCTAGTGCTTGCGGGTCCCACGGGGGTGCTGAGCAGGGAGAGGCTGGCAGCAGGCTCTGGGGCCTGGTGGCCAGTGTCCCCTCTAGACTCAGGCATCGCTGGCACAGCAGGGACAAGCCCCAGCCAGAGCTGCCTGAGCAGGGCCAGGGCTGGGGTTATCGCTGCCTCCCCGCTTGTTTTTTCCCGTGGTGCCTGAGCAAGGCCCTGGCTCTGCCCTGGCCCGGCCTTCCCCTCTTGGGGACGATAAATCTGCCGTGCCCGGTGGAAGGGCTGAGGTCAGGAGCCAGTCAGCATTCACACTGTGCTGTCCTGCGCCCCGGCCAGGGCCATTCCTGCCCTGCTGACAGCTTTACTGCCGTGCTCCTGGCTCTGTTTGCCTCCCGAGCTGCTGTCCTGGGCTGTACTGCTGCTGTCAGTTGTGCTCATGGCCCAGCACCACTGGCACTCTGACCTTTGCTGCGAGGGCAAAGAAGAAGGTGCAGGGGGAGCCTGGGAGCGATTTAGAGCCTGTCCCAGCCTTGTGAGATCTTCACCACCTCCTGCACTGGGGCTCACAGCGCCCACCACGTTGTCCCCCTGGCAGGCTGGCACTGTCCCTTGGAAGTAGCCCCTTCCCCTTTGTCTCCTGGTTTCCCAGACAGGCTGTGGGGTGATGGCTGTTCCCTATTGTCTGCTGTGATGGGAATGGTCCCGTTCCTTCTCCCAGCTGGGACCAGCTCGGAAACTGTCTCTGAAATGCCTTTGTTCACCCCGCGACGAAGCGGCTCCCCCGGCTGTTTACAACCCATTGATCCCCTCATTCCCAGGGCCAGCCGGCCACAATCGGGCTTTGGCGGGGGGGCTCGCTGCCCCATTTCCTGCCCCGGGCCCATGCAGTGTCTCTCGGGGAGGCTGCTCTAGCACAGGAGTGATGTCTTGGGGAAGGACTGAGACAGATGATGACAGCTTGGGCATTGATGGCACCCGACTGGAAGCCCCTGCCCTACTCATATCCCCTGCCTGCGGTACTTCCAGCTGTTTTCCCTGTGTCCGGGGACTCCCGTCCGTCCGCCGGCATTGCTGCAGGTCTGTGGATTCCCACAGGCGCTGGGACAGGGGTGAAGCTGCTTCCCAGACCTGTCGCCTTTCTCCTAAGCCTTCATTGCTATAAACCCACCCTTCCTCCCATTGAATCCCAACAATGTGCCGCTTGGGAAGTGCCGGCGGGACGGCGGGACAAGAATAGGAACGGGCAGCTCTCAGGGCTAGGGCGAGCAGCCACGGCGGCTCACGAAGAGGGAGAGGAAGCTATGCTGAATAAACCATTATGGTAAAACCCTGCCCTCCCGAGGCTGCACTCGACCACTCACGTGCAAATGCTCACTCTGGTCCAGGGCATTTGTGATCCAGCTGTTCCCAGCATGGCACAGCTGGGCGCTGCTGTGGAAGCCCTGCCTGCAGTGAGCCTGTCCATGCGCAAGGAGTACCATGCCTGGCCCGGAGGCCAGTGTTGAGTGTGAGAGCATCCTCCAAGGCTTGTCCAGCTTCAGGGATGTCCCTGCATCTGGGGCTGGCTGTGACTGCACAGTGCCATAGATCGGGGGTTGAATCCAGCAGCCGTGAGTACTCCTGGTCCCAGCCCAGCCTGGCTGTGCCCCAGGCTCATGGGGGGTCAGGCTGACTGCAGTGCTCTTGGCATGGTCTGAGGGCAGCTTCCTTTGGACCCTCTGTCCTGCCCTGCTTTGTTCCTGGGATCCATCATGAACAGCTCATGAGAGGAGCAGGTGGTGGTTTCCACAGGCAGGATGCCAGGAGCCAGCTCACTGGGGTGGCTGAGGGGAGTGGGACAGCTGCTGTGTGGGGGACAGTGAGATCCTCCTGGCCATCCGGCACACCTGGATGGCTGCTGTGGATGTGTTAGATCAGAGCAGGGATGCTCCAGCTGTGCAGGGCTGGGGATGAGGTGACCCTGTGCTGGCACGGGGATGGGCCAAGGCCATCTGGGCCCTTCCTGCAAGGCCTGGAGTGATGATGCTTTTGGAGGAGAGGAACAGGGTGGGAGCTGGTGGGGGGAGCAGGGGCCTGCAGGGACATACTCTGGTGTCCTGTCCTGGTGCGGTTCAGTGACCCCAGGACACCCTGGACCTGCCCACAGTGGGGTGACCCCAGGACACCCGGACCTTCCCACAGCACGGTGTCCCCACAGCCCTGGGACAAGGCGGGGGCTCACCCCGGCTGCACTGGAGAACAAATAGAACATCCCCTCAGTGTGTCCCCTACAGCCCCTAGAGACATCTGCTCCTTCCCAGCTGAGGCTTTTCCCAGGCTCTGGTTTTGCCCTTTTCCTGAGAGAAGCCAAGTTCTCCCAGCCTCCACGTCTCTCTTCCTGCTATGGCTCCCTCCATGCTGTGCCTGATGGCTCCTTCTGTGGCCAGCAAAAGCCCTGAAGTGCTGTGGGAGAGGAGCAACTCTGCTCTACACCAAGTCACATCCCTCAAGCTATAGCTGGGGACAGCTGCAGTGGAACATGATCCCTTCCCATTCAGCACTGGCTCTTCCTGCAGGTACAGCTCAGGGTTGATTCCCTGTCTCCAGCACTCCAGGACCACTGTGGGTCCTTGTTTGTAGGCCACATGGATTTCCCATGCCACAAAAAGCCCTTGGCTCTGCAGACAGCAGCCTCTGTTTGCCTGGTGTTGCATCAGGATGATGCTCTGAGCTGCTGGGCAGGGTTAGGACCCATGCCAGGGTGGGCACAGGGTGCTGGGCACTGCAGTCCTGGTGCCTCCACATAAGGAAATGGCCGGGGGCAAGTGACAATGTCAGGATGCAGCTATTGAGTGTGTTTCCTCCCTCCTGCAGTTCTCACACAGGGCCGCATTGTCTGCCATGCCCGTGCATTGAGGGACCCTAGTGGAGGGCTAAATATAACCCTGGGGAGGAAAAGAGCTCTGTGGGGTTCACTTTTCCTTGGCTGTGCACCATTGGCAGTGGCTGGAAAGGGCAGGATTATTCCTGGTTTGGGGTTGCCCGAATGGTGGATGCTGTAAGCCCAGAGTGCTGGGGTCAGGGCTCTGTACCTGGCCCAGGAGAATGCTCCTGGGACATGCCTGGGCATTGACAGGGCCCTGTGGGCAAGTGTGGCCATGCTGTGGCCCTGCCTGGCACCCTCATTCCCAGCTCTCTGCCCTTCTTCCCCCTCAGCTGTGATTCTGCTCCCACCTTGCCTCTTCCTGAGTGGGTCAGATTTAGACACTTGCTGTTTGCTGTATGCTGGGAAAACTTAAAAATAAACTTCTTGGTGCTTGGCCAGCACTTCATGCAGAGCCTTTCAGGCAGGACAGTCCTCTATCCCAGGCCATGGCAGAGTGGAGCAGGGTGCCTGGCATCGGCTGGTCCTATCTGGGAGGAAGGCAGAAACATCCCTGCAGAGGAGCCCCAGGGCTCCTGGGGACTGTGACTGGTGTTAGACCAACACCCCCAGCAGGGATTGGGGTTCTGAGGAGTGTGTGGTCCCTCCAGGACTGGCAAAGCTGCCTCAAAATCTTCCCTAACTCTGGGGGTGCCCCTGGGAGCTCCTCACTGCAGCCCCCAGGCTGCCTGTGCCAACATGGGGCTCAGCATCATCATCCAGGGCTAGGTGTTGGGGGAGAGAGTGCCGTTCCCACAAGGGACCGGAGGGACCTGTTTATTCAAGAGGGAACGTGGAGGTGTGAGAAAGGCCCGCCCAGCCACTGTCTGTCCCCGGGCTGTGCCAAAAGGCTCCACCAGGCCAGCCTGGGCTCTTATCAGCTCCAAACTTTTATTTGTCTAAGGGCTGCCCACCCACCTTCTGGGGGGCTGCTGCCAACCCCAGCCCTGCTGCCCCCTCCCCAGCCTGGTCCTCAGGTGAGCCCCTTGCTGTTGTTGTTGGCAGCATATCCCGGCGGCGTGGGGTCACTGCAGCTGCCCCGAGCCACTTTGTCACAACATGGGAACAATAGTGGGACATGGAGCTGTATTTGTGCAGCGCCTGGACACTGGATCCAGGCAAAGGGGGGGTGGTCTTGGCTGTCTTGTTTTCCACCTTGCAGGGTCACTCGGAAAAGCGTGATGCTCCCCCAGTGCCAACAAAAATAGGAGTCCAGTAGAGGGGAGGTGACCCGGGGACACTGTGATGGGTAAACATGGCACGGTTTCTCTGTTCCCTTTCACTCGGGGATTTCCTCCTGGCCCAGCACACTGGGCTGCTCTCCCCAGAGCTGCAGGGCTCTGCTGGTACCTGGGGAGCACTGGGATGTGGCCCCTCATTGCGCTGGGGTGGCCTAGGAGGTCCCAATTGGGCAATGGTGGGAGCAGGGTCCTTCCACAGCAGATCTACCCCAGCACCCTCCAGGAGGGTACAGGGAAGAGCTGGGAGCTGGTGGTGTTCCCAGATCCCCACCCCAGGGGGTTTCACCCCCTCGCCCCCAGCAGGGAGGAAACCAAGGGTGGGCCCAGCCACCAGCCCAAGGACAGTGCAGCTGGGTGCCTCCCTCCTCATTTCCTCCAGTGGCTGATGGCAGCGATACTGCCCCATATCACCCATATTTCATTTTCTCCAGGGTATTTTTAGCCTGTCCCACCCTCACTGGAGAGGCCCTCGACAGAGAGCAGGCTCTGCTCTAGCCTGGTTTTGCTGGGGAACTAAACAAGAGCCCCAGCCACATTGTGTGCCTTTATCTGTGGCTCACTTCCACCTATTATGCAGCCATGAGCAGCTCCATGGCTTCTGCTGGGTTTATCTGCAGTGGAGGGAGCGCGGCTGAGCTCAGCTTTGGGCCACCATGAACTTGGGATGTGACAGTTCTGTCAAAACCCTGAGGACAGGAGGCCACAGTAGGGAGGGTTGTGCTTTCACTGGGTGAGTGGCACCTGCAGCACAAATGGGTGTCCACTTTCCCCTTCACCCCACACCCACCATTCCCACACAACAGCATTTCCCCCTCCCTCAGCCCCAAACCCTCTCTTGCCCTCCCAGAGGCAGCTGGAGGCTGCAGGAAGCACAGTCATAGCACCTGCACCTTTTCTCATTCATCCAACTTTATTCAACAAGATGCAACAAGGAGTCTGCCAGAGGAAGGGAAACAGTGCTGAGGGCAGTGCCCACACCTCACACTCACACCTGGGTCACAAAGGACCTGCAGCCTCTTGGTCACAGGAGAATAATCTGCTCTCACAGCATCAGTGGGCTGGGGGAGTCAGGGTGACAGCTCCTATGACAAGTTGGTTCTTCCACGCCCCACCCCCCCCAGCCCAAAGCAGGAGATGACTAGTGCAAAGTTATAAAAAAACAGAAAACCCCCCAAACTATCAGGTGCTGGGCTGATTCCTCCCTAAACCCCACAGGGCTCCAAGGCACATGGCCAGGCTGGACATGGCTCCCCAAAGTCCCTGCAAACTGCACCTTTAAGGCAGGAACTCCATGCTCAGAGCAGCAGGTTAAAAATAACTTAAAGGCACACATCCCATGGGAAAGAGCCCAGGGCTGGGAGGGGGGGAACTCACACTCCTGGGTCACCCACAGTGACCCTGCAGCCATTAGGATCTGCTGGTCACAACAGAGCTGGCTTGACCCCTCTGTGTCCCATGGGGAGGGGGCAGCTTCTGCAGCAAACCCTGGGCAGGTGCCAGGGCCACTGGAATGGGATGGGGCTGGTGGCCAGGATCGGTCAGTGCTGCCCCAGCCCAGCTTTTCCCGGCAGTCCCCGGCTCAGCCTGCTCTGTGTGGAGGCTGGAGACGAGCAGCTTCCCACAGCTGTGCTCCTGGCTCTCATGCCAGCAGAGGCTCTGGGGTCTGGCCGAACTGCTGCTCCCAGTGGTCAGCAGCCTCCAGCCACGGCCTCGGGGACAGCCTGTTCCACGGCATGGCTCCAGGACTGTCTCCCTTTCCCATGGCAAGCCACACAGGACATGGCGTCCCAGGGAACTATGTGCAGTTTCCTTCCTTGCAGGGTCTGTGGGGAAAACTGGTGAGAGCTGAGGCTGCGCTCCACGGCCGTGCTCCTGAGCATCCCATCCCATCCCAGGGCAGGCAGGTCTTTGGAGCCTCCAGAGAGGAATGTGTATGGCACAGCACCAGGCAGGAGGCAGCTGCCAGCCCACAGCCAGCACCTTTGCAGGCACAGGGGACCGAGGAATGTCCCCCTGCCAGCCAGGGCCAGCCCGGCACTACACATACTGCTTTTTGGAGGCTGAGCTCCCGGGCCGGCTGCCCAGCTTCTCCTCCGGGGCTGAGGCTTCAGCAGGCTGGGGTGTGTATGGGTCCGACAGTGGTCTGGTGCTGCTGCCCAGTGCCAGGTTCTCCTCGTTGCGGTAGTTGGCCCAGTTCTGCTCGCTGGACAGCTTGTTGTAGGTCTGGTAGGAGGGCGCGTGGCTCTCGGCCATGGGCAGGAAGGGATAGTGCTTGGGTGCGTAGGGACTTGAGACCATGTCATCCACAAAGGTGTCCTGGCTTGGTCCAGCTGGCCCTGACACCTTCTTGATGTTGCTAAGCAGGTTCTTGCAGCAGAGGTGGAAGAGCTCCAGGAGGTTCAGGATTAAGGAGATCAGGCCCATCACAAGCATGAAGATGATGAAGATGCTCTTCTCGGTGGGGCGGGAGATGAAGCAGTCCACTTGATGGGGGCAGGGGTCCCTCTTGCACACGTAGCGGGGCACCATGGAGAAGCCATACAGATACCACTGGCCCACGAGGAAAGCAGCCTCAAAGATGCTCTTGCAGATGATGCTGGTGATGTATGTCCACATCAACGCCCCTCGGATCTTGAGCCGCCCACTCTCTGACATGCAGATCTTCGACATCTTCTTCTCCAGGGTTGCCAGGGCCTGCTCGATCTTTGGGTCCTTGCTGTGGATAGCTCGAAGCTCGCTCTCCTGCTTCTTCAGCTTCTCCTCCTTTCGGGAGAGATAGACAACGTGGCCCAGATAAATCAGGGTGGGGGTGCTGACAAAGAGGAACTGGAGCACCCAGTAGCGGATGTGGGAGATGGGGAAAGCTTTGTCATAGCAGACATTGGTGCAGCCTGGCTGCTTGGTGTTACACACGAAATCCGACTGCTCGTCCCCCCACACAGACTCCCCGGCCAAGCCCAGGATGAGGATGCGGAAAATGAAGAGCACGGTGAGCCAGATCTTCCCAATCACGGTCGAATGCTCCTGGACTTGGTCCAGCAGTTTCTGCAGCAATTCCCAGTCACCCATCTTCTAGGAACCCTTTGCCTCTGCCAGCAGGGAGAAGAGAGCAGCTGTGTTAGTTTCCAGTTTCCATGCTGGGGAGCACAGGGCAGATGTGACGACCTAAACCTCCTGCTTTTTCAGGATATAGCTGCTCTGCAGAGTGCCCCAGCAAACCCTTGGAGGAAAATCCCACTTCTGAGGGAGGGAGGGTTCCAGGCAGAGTTTAGGAGCCCCAGAGGCCTCCTCCTACACAGTGCAGGAACAGGGGGCTGGGAGAGACAGGGATTCTCTCCTTGCACCCACAGCTCATGGCTGTCCTGGCCACTCTGGGGACAGCCTGCAGCCAGGAGCTCTTTTGGGACTGCCCAGGGAGCTCAGGGCACCCGGAAAGGAGGCACCATGGGGGCTCACAAATTTGCTGCTAACCTGGCTTTCCCAAAAGACAGAAAGCAGGATAGTTAGAGGAGAAGCACAACCCCTTGTGCTGCCATACCGATGCCTATTCAGGGCTCACCCCAAACTGAACGGACAGCCCCCCATCAGCTCCCTTGCTGCAGGGCGATGGACTCCTAGCCCCAGCCCCTTCCCCTCGCCAGGGGATCCCTGGCGCTCCCCACCCTGCTGCCACTCCCGGGATCCTGGGGAGCCAAGCCCTCACCCCTCGGGTGTTCAGCCCGCCTGTGAGGGAGGGACAGGGCGGCCGCAGCCCCGGCTCCTCATTAACCGCTTCTAATTAAGCACAAGAAGTGCCGGCTGTGCAGTTAAAGGAACACCCGGCAGCGGTGGGGCGGCGGGGTGCCCCATGCCCAGTACGGTGTCCCCGTGCCCCGGTGTCGCGGTGCCCCGGCGGTCCCGGGTGCCCGCACTCACCTCCGCCGCGCCGGGCACGTCCCGCCGGGCTCGGGCCACGCTGAGAGTGAGGGGTCCGACCGGGTGGCTCTGGTTGTTCAGGGCCCGGAGAAACGGGAGGAGGAGCGTGGGCAGGAAACCGGGGGCCAGGGCTTAGTACCCGGCCGGGCCGAGCCGCAGGTGTGCGGGGGCCGCCCCCTCCCGCGGTCCCCGGACGAGGGGGCGGCCCCGGCGGGCGGGGCGGGTGTAGCCTGACCCGTCGGGGCCGAAGCTGGGGGGGAACGATGGGAAGCCCGGGTGTTTCCGCACTCTCGTCTCCGGCTGCGGCTCCGCCACAGGGCAAACCCGCTGAGCCAGAGACCCCGGGATGCTTTGTCCCCTGACCGATATCCTGGGGATGTTTAAACCCCTGCCCGGCGGGGTGTCCCCGGTATCCTTCGTCCTCTGCCCGGTATCCAGGCGATGTTCTGTCTTCCCCCGCCCCGGCCGGACCGCGGCTGCGGCACTCGGGGTTTGCCCCCGAGGGTCCATGCGGCGCGGCGGGCGCTGGGTGGTGCTGGAGCCCCACCGGAGCCCGGCTGCGATCCCGCGTCCCGCCAGTTCTCGGGATGAACCCCACTGGAGCCCGGCCGGGAACTCCCCAGCAGGTTCCAGACGGAGCTTTGCTGTCGGGTGGCCTCAGCACACCCCGACACGCTCGTGGGGCTGTGAAAGGCAGGCGGGCTGAGTGGAGCTGGGAATAGCAAAGCCTCCACTACTGCTGCTTAAGGAGAAATTAAATGGAGATAATTTCTATTTATTGTAATATTTCTCAAGGTTTAGTAAATAATTGATGCTCATCCCTTCTTGATTTCCTTGGGGGCCAGTGTGAGGTTCTCCTGAATTAAAGTTTAATGATGCATGACAAGCTGGGAGAGGTGGAACGGGCGGATGTGAACTTGGCTGTGGGCTCGACCAATGCCCAGCTCGGGCAGATGAGGAGGACCTGGCTGAGGGCTCCTGAAGAACCTCTGCAAATCCATGTCTTCTCCCCTCACCAGTCCCCTGATTTCCAACATACAGAGCAGATCTTGGCGTCTCCAAACATGACATTTGGATCCTTTTGGATCTGTAGCTTGTGCCATGTGTGATGTGCATCTGAGATGAGAGGACACACAGAGGCACCAAGGGAAGCAGCAGAGCCAGCAAGGGCATTTGGGCAGGACATGGCTTGGTGCTTGTGTGAGCCAAGGGAGAGAAGTTGCCCCACTCCAGTAATGGTAAACTGGGCCAGCAGAATGGTTGCCAACAGACTGGAGCCCTGCTTCTCTTGTCTTTGGGTGCACAAAGAGAGCTCTGGCCAAGGAGCTCAGAATTCCTTTGGTTTCCTGGTACAAAAGAAAACAGTGCTTGGGTCTGTGTGAGGCACAGTGAGCTGGGAGAACTGGCACACACTGGGTGGCACCAGCCCTGGCTGGGCACCAGCTGGGTGCACTCACACCCAGCATGGGAGTGGCAGAGCTGCAGGACCCAAGAGAGGACACGGAGGATCTGTGTGCTGCTGTGATGTCCATGCTTGTGGCACCGCTACCTGCAGATCTCCAGGGCTGCCCTTGCCTTACCTGTGTCTGCTCAGACACCCGTGGCTCTCTCCCCAAGGACATTACTTTGTTTGGTTTAGTCATTTTTCACAGGGGTCGACTCTTGAGGGTTCGGGGCTTTGGCAGGCTGGAAAAGCCAAGTTGAGGGGAATATGAACTGGCTGGGATGGGTGAGCTCACGGCTCTTCTCCTCTGTGGGAAGAACAGACACCCTCAGGCATGGCCATAGGCAGCCAGCACCCACCTGCCACCAAGCATGTCCACACCACTGAGACACCCAGGGATGTGCCCATGGTCCCAAGCAGGAGAGCCTCCCATGGACGTGTCCCCCTTCCCTTACAGCCACCAAGGTCCTGGCTGAAGAATCTGGTGGTGGCATCACTGGTGGTCACCTGTGGTGCCAACCATCCCTGGCACATACCAGGACACTTCTTTCCCCACCACCCTTCCCAGCACCCCTCAGACAGCGGTCAGGGCTGCCACACACCTAGGCTGGGACTTGTTGTCCTTCTCCTCTGACTTGACGTGGCAGTGGTAGGTGGAGGCCTTGCTGTAGCTGATGGAGTGCTTGGTGGATTTCCTCCACTTCCTTGCCCTCCGGACAACTCGCTTGAAGATGAGGTAGAAGATCTCACAGACAGTGAGGACAATGCAGATGGAGGAGGCTCCGACCATAAAATAGGTGAAAACCCTTTTCTCGGTTGGCCGCGCGATGTAGCAGTCCACGGTGTTGGGACAGGGATCCACATTGGAGCACTTGACCAGCCGTGGCAAATCGAAGCTGTCCCACATCTTGTGGAGGAGGTAGAGGAACAGGATCTCTACAACAAGTTTAAAGAAGAGGCTGAACAGGTAGGTCCACCACAGCCCGCCGTGCTTCTTGCCCGTGTTGCTGTAGAGCTTGGGGCAATTCTCTCCATTCTTCTCCCGGTTCTTCCTCTCGCGGTCCTCCCGGTAGGCCACGTGCATGATGACCAGGAGGGAAGGACAAGTGACAAAGATGAGCTGCAGGGCCCAGAGGCGGATGTGGGAGATGGGGAAGAAATGGTCATAACACACGTTGGTGCAGCCCGGCTGCCGCGTGTTGCAATCAAAGTCCTTCTGCTCGTCGCCCCAGACCTTCTCGGCTGCCACCACATAGACCAGCACACGGAAGACAAAGACCACGGAGAGCCAGATGCGGCTGAAGGCTGTGGAGTACTTGTTGACCCCGCTGAGCAGCGCCTGCAGCGTTTTCCAATCCATGGCAGCCGAGGGAGACCAGAGTCACCCGACCTGGAGAGGCAGAAGGAGTGGTGGGTGAGGAGCGATGGGAGACACCGCTGGGGCCGCACATCTCTCGCTGCACTAAATCTCATTGACCTCTGAACCCTCTCCCCCACCACCTTACACTCATCTAGGATGGCGGCTCTTCACCCTTGCAGACAGTAAAGCTGATCCTCACACACTGCTGGTGACAGAGGTGACTCAATCTCTCTGCATATCTTTCTGATGGAGCCTTTGCTGTAAGGGATGAGCCACCCCAGCAAGTCCTTGCCACCAACTCCATGCCTGATTGTGTGTGCTGGTGCAAACTGGCAGCATGATCTGCTGGAGCAGGCCAGGATCAACAGCCAAAAGTGGCTGCTCCTGCAGCACTGGGGTGCTGGAACATGCCAGGAACCTGTTTTCTGTCTCACAGGTGCTACCTGAGGCAGCCAAACACAGGTGACAGTGGGACTGCAGAAAGTGAGAGTCCGTGTGTGTCACAGTCTGTGTGTGTCACCAGCATGTCACCCTGGCCAGTGCTCTGCTCCTGCTCTGGCAGCAATGGTCCTGATGGCCAAACCGGCTCTGCAGCTCCACCTGGGCTGCCCTGTGTGAGGAGGGTGACACGCTAAGCCTGACCCAGGGCTTTACTGCACCTGGATTTACAAACCCAGGTAGTTTTTACAGCCTCTGGGCTGTAAAGATGTCTGCCCTGACAAAGGGATTCACAGAACGCTGGATCGCTCCCACTTTTAAGGAATTGACGCTGTCTGCTGCCCACCCAGTGCCTTCTGAGACGTACCTGGAGGAGTTCCTTGCCTGCTCACCGGGGGCTGTGGGGTGGGAAGTGTCCAGCACAGGGCATAGCCAGGATGCAATGGCAAACTGATGATCGGGGTCCTCTCATCCAGTGCACTGCGGCGTCCCAGGGCTGTGGGGACAGAACAGAACCTGGAAGAGTGGCCGGAGCCCATGGAGCAGTCTGGGAGTCTGTCCTTGTCCAGGGCCAGCCCAGAGCAAGCCCCGAACCTGTGGCTGTGCTCCCACACTTCTGGCCCAGGGACGCACCGGGAACTGTGGCTGAGCTGAGTAGCCCCAGGCTGGGATCCTTGGCAGTGGGTGCCGAGTGCCAGGGCTGTGCCTCTGCCCATGCCCACACACCTTCACTCACCACCCCACCTGAAATCAGATCTTCCTCCCTGGCAAACCCTTGGCTGGGAGTCGGGTGTGGGCAACAATCACTGCATTCCCACCCAACCCTTGGGTTTAAAACTGGGAGAGGGGAGCTGCTGTTTTGTTCCCAAAAGCTGGTGCTCATGGAACCTGGAGCCTCTGCATACCCCCAGAGCCTGTGCCCCCTGCCAGCATGCCAATTCACACGTGACCCCAAGAGATCAACCTGGCACCCCCCTGCCCATAACCCACCTGCCCAGCACCCGTGTGCCCAGTTCAGCCCAGCGCTGGCTCCAGTCATGGACCCTCAGTGGAGCAGCAAGGGGGCGCGATCTCCGTGCCAAGCTCTGTGCCAATCCCCGTGTGGCAGGGGGCGTGTGCATCACCGTGTGAGCTCCACAGGCCCCCCAGTGCTGGATGGCAGCCAAGCAGAGCAGAGCAGTGCTCAGGTGTGCTCAGCTGTGCCGACAGTGCTGGTCTGCCTCCTGCAGAGCCCGGCACCCTTGCCAGCCCCTGGGATGCCTACCCGCTGTGTCATGGCCGGGTCCTGCCCTGTGTGGGCGCAGGGCGTTGGAGCCGACAGCGCCCAGCTCCCACCTGGAGTGCAAACTCAGCGGAACCACTTTTCTGCGGGGGTCTCTGCCTCTTTTGGGGGTGGGACAGAGGTGCAAGGCCTGGGGTGGTCGTTGGTGCTCCTCGGGCTGGCACACCATGCCATCCCCCTGCATCACCCCATGGGATGGGGACCCCGGCATGGCCTGTGGGGTCCCGATGTAGCACTGGGTGATTCTGGGATCCCCACCTCTGACCCTACAGTCACAGCAGCCCCAGGTCCCACTTACACCTTGTTATACTTCAACACAGTTCCCACCTGCACCCCGTTACACTGCGGGGCTGTTCCCCCTCAACCCCGGCAGCCCCAGGGTACCCTGTGCCCGGGAGTACCTGTCCAGGTGGAAAAGCCAGAGGAAGGTGTCCGGATCTGGGCGCCTCTCAGAGCGAGGAAGCTCCTTCCCAGCCGCAGCCCTCCTGCACACGCAGAGTTTGTCTGAGCATGTGAGGGGAGGGGAAGGGTGGTTGGTTTGGTTCCCAGTAACTGGGTGAGTCTGGCAAACAGCTCCCGGAGAGGTTCTTGCTGCGCACATGCACACACACGCTCAGCTTGAACAACAAAAGGCAGGTCAAATCCTGCAGGGAGATCAGCAGAGACGGATTCTTCCACAGGAAACACCAGCAGCTCCTTCCAGGTGATGTCCCATCCCCTGCAGGGATGGTCTGGGCACTGCAGACTCAGCAGCAAGACCAGAGACCTCGCACCGTCCCCCACCTGTGGGCAGCAACCATTGCTGCGACTCCCAGGTTACACAATTGTAACCCACTTTTTAAATGATTTTGCCTTAGTAATAGTTTTGCAACAGCTCACCGGTATCTCCAACCTACAGGAAGTTGCAGGCACCGCCCTGGCGGGGCCGGTGTGGCCAGATGGGACCTTTCCCATAGAGCAGGGTGGCAGCAGGGACCCCGTGCAGCCGGACCCTGCGCTGCTGCTGCCTCACTGCCAGGGACCTAGGAGGTGTCCCTAAGGGGGTGTCCCTCTCCCCAAGGCACTGGTGGATCCCAGGAGGCTGAGTCAGCCCCATCCCACCGTATCAACCCCGAGAGATGCCCGTGTCGACGTAGCCGGGCAGGAATGTGCTTCCCTTCGTTCACCTGGTTTCTAGAGTGCCCCGAGGCTTCCTTGGAATCCTCCGGCACACCCTGGGGCCCATCAGCCGTGCTGGAGCCTCACAGGGCACCTCGGCACCTGGCCAGGGCCACCCCTCCCATGGAGACACGTCTGAAGAGCCCCGGGGTTGGTGCCCGGAGAGATTTGCTCTCTGCTCTCCTGGCAGACAAGGAGCCGCTTGCCTGGAAGCTTTTGGTCTCCAGGAGGTCAAATAAAGCCAGTGAGGGTTTGCCAGGCTGGGGACACACAGGAATGGGAACCCGGGAGACTCAAAGCAAACCCTGGTGGGAGCCTGGGATGGGGTGAGCCTGGAGGAGGGGACAGACACAGGCACTGCAATCCCAGACGAGAGCCAAGCAGGGGCTCCGGAGCCTTCCTTCACCCCGGAACTGCCCGGATCAGGAATTTGAGCTATGTTGTTGCAGAGAGCTGGTGTGGCAGGAGCTCAGCAGGAATCTGGGGGCTGTGGCCTGTGAGGTGAAAAACCTTGGAGAGAGGGAAGCTGTCGGGAGGCACTGGCAGCTCTGATCCCTTGCAGAGGCAGCTGCTCCCTGCCCCACAGCCAAACCCTGTAAGGGTCAGGTGAAGAGCGGGGCCAGATCACCCCTGGGCAGCCTCTTGCCTGCAATTTTGGAATTTCAGGAGTGGCCGTGCGGCCACGGTGAGAAAGTTCAGGTGCATTTGGCATGGGCAGAAGGTTTCCCTCCGGCAGTTGGGTGGGGAGCAGAAACACCCCATGCTTTGCAGAGTTTTGAAATACTGAGCTGGGTGTTTGGGTAAATCAATAAATCCATCAAGGGGCACATCCCTGCACCCCCTCTACCATTACTCTGCCAGTGTGGGCGCAGGGACAATTATCACACCCTCTGAGTAAAGCAAAACCAGTGCCAGCATGGTTCTGCTGATCTCAGCACCTGGAAGCTTCAGGGATATGCCCAGGACATGTCACCCTGCTGCCACTCTGCTCTGACACGGCAGGGTGACAGGTGAAAGGCCTCAGTGCCAGATGTGAACGCTGAACACCCAGTGACTTAAGGAGGCCCAGCCTTGGCTTGTCCATAAAGGAAAAAGCCTGTGGAGCTTTTCAAACTGTGGAGCGGGCAAATGCCAAACCAGCAGGAAAACCTCAAAGTCTCTTTAGAAGGGTCTTAAACGGGGCACGGCAGGATTCTGCCTGCCAACAGCTGTCCCCCTCCAGGACCACATCCCCAGGGACAAGACGCCCCCGCAAGAACAGGGGCAGAGGAGTCATGGGATCCTGAGAGCTGGCAGCCAGGGCTGGACATAAATCAAAGAGTTTCTCCTCAATTCCCAGCAATCAGGCAGGTTTTGGCCAGAGCAGAAACAAGCCCAAGCTGGGAAGGCCAAGCTACCCCTGACCTGTGCACGCAATCCCCTCCACATCCCTGCCTGGGCTGGAGTTAGTGGTGAGTTTCTTTAAAACCCCCTCACCCAAGAATTGAGGAGGTCTTCTGGGACCCCACAAGCAAATACAGGGAATTTCCTGAGTGAGGATGCAAAATCTGAGGAATATTCAGCTTTTATTGTGACACCCCCGCCCTGATTTGCTGACCCTGGTCCTGCCTCTGCATCCCAGGAGATTCCCAGTATCCAGACCCCTGTTTTTGCAGCACCAATAAGAAGCAGGCAAATGCTCCCAATTTTCGGCTGACCACTACTTATTCCAAGCCTGGATGGTGCAAGACACCCAGAGCTCTGATCACAACAAAACGGCGCAACAACATCCAGCAACTGGATCTTCAGGTGTCTCACAATGGGCAGCAGCTCCAGCTGTCCTTTGATGTGTGGGAGTGGGACAGGTTGGTTTTCCTGGGGCTCATCTCTGTCCCCTTTAGCTCCTGCAGAGGGGAACACCTTGGGATTTCACTCTCCAGCCTGGAGCAGGAGTGGCCAACCTTGCTGGAAAACAAACAACCCAGCCCATGTTCTTTAAATCGGGGCAATGGCTCTCACACAAAGAACAACTTGTATCCTCTGACATTATGGTTTTCATAAAGAAAACTTTCAGGTGGATAATCCAGCAACAGGAGTGGATGGAAGGAAGGCAGTGCCAGCACAGCTTCCCCTGAGAAGAAGTGGAAAAAAATTCTGTCTGTATTTCACCATCTGCCTCTCTGACCCCAAAGGTCCCCAAACTCAGTGGTGGCAGCACAAGGAGCTGCTGTGGGCTCACAGGGCTCTGTGCCAGTGGCTAGGATCCCCCCAGGGCTTCTCCACCATCCTCACCCCCACCAGTGGCTGATTCAGTGTCTGCCCTCCCACCAGCAGTGCTGTAGTCCCACCTGCTCTTGGTTTCCCTTCAGCCCTGCCTGTCCCTGGCATCCCCCTGGCCACAGCAGCCTCTCAGCCTCCCACCCAGCACATCTAGCTGGTCCTTTCCCCAGGACCCATCCTGTGGGAAAGAGCTCAGTTTTGCCCACAGAGGGTCTCAGCTGGATGACTGCAATGATCTGTCACAGAGAGTGGCCTCAGTCACATAAAGGATGTAGCGATGGTGTTCCCTCACCCCCTGTGCCACTTCCTTTGGGACAGAGCCAGGGAGTGCTGGCACTGTCACTTGCTCATGGAAAAAAATAATTATCACACCCTCTGAGTAAAGCAAAACTAGTAACAGATCGAGCTGCATGTTCAATGTTAATGTTACTTGTGAGTGCACCTGCCATGAAATTATTGTTAATTATTCATGCCAGCTAATGCTCAGCTCCCTCTGATGGCCTCAGAAATGGCAGCACCACCCGTGTCACGGCTGAACGCGATTTATTACAACAATAAGTGAGATCAGATTCTGCCATTTAATGTTATTGTTTAATCAATGGTTGGGGTGTTTTTCCTCTCTTGTGTTTGGCTGTTTTGCTCAGGTGTTTTGCCCGGGCCAGGCAGGATGATCCAGCAGCCCACAGCAGGCGCTGCCTGCCTGGCCGGATCCTCATGCCTGTCGTGGCTGCGGCACCAGGGACCTGCTCTTGTCCCCACTCAGCTAATGAGTGCTATTAATGACAATTGCATCAGTCTGAGGTGGCCCTGACACCCACTGAGTGGCTGATGTAGGGTGAGACATAGGAAGAGGGGTTTCCTGGGGGATCAGGTTGTCTGTGCTGGCTGTACCACTGTTAGTTCACAGCTGCCATAGAACTGCTGCTCCCTGTCACTCCCAGGGATGGCATGTGTCCTACAGCCCTTGCGTTACCCCAAATTCAGCAGGATGATATAAAACGCCTTTCCCAGGACAGAAGAGGCAGAGACCTCTCAGGCACAGCCCAGCTCTGGGGTGGACTGGGGCAGAGAGGAGCAAGAGCAGCCAGGAAGTTGCAGGCCAAGTGACCGGCTCCTGCTTTCTCTTGGGCAGCTCTAGGAATGAGCCTCATCCTCGGACAGTGTGCTGGGGCAGGTGGCCGTGAGTGGGATGGTGGCCGTGGGGGGTTTGTAGTCCGCCCCGTGGAACACCTGCCCGCCCGTGCCCACGGGGTCGGCGCAGGAGATGGGGCAGTCGTGGCTGTGCTGCCGGCTGTCCCCTCCTCCGGCCTGCAGGCACTCATGGCACCGCTTCCCGATCAGGTAGGTGGACTCAATGATGTTCAGCACCACACAGATGCAGGTGGTGACCACCATGAAGAGGGTGAAGATGTTCTTCTCGGTGGGCCGGGAGATGAAGCAGTCCACCACGTTGGGGCAGGGCGGCAGCTCGCACTTCACTACCCGGGGCAGGGTGTAGTTCCTGTAGAAGCGGTAGAAGATGTAGAGGAAAACCATGTCCACGCTGGCCTTGAAGATGAGGCTGAGCAGGTATGTCCACCAGAGCCCGCCCCGCTTCTTGCCAGGGTTGGGGTAGATGCAGCGATAGTTGTCCCCTTTGGTTTCACGGAGCCTCTGCTCCTTGGCCTCCCTGTAGGCCACGTGCATGATGACCAGGAGGGATGGACATGTCACCAGGATGAGCTGCAGGGCCCAGAGGCGGATGTGGGAGACGGGGAAGAAGTGGTCAAAGCAGACGTTGGTACAGCCTGGCTGCCGCGTGTTGCAATCAAAGTCCTTGTGATCATCGCTCCAAACCCTCTCGGCCGCCACCAGATAGACCAGCAGGCGGAAGATGAAGACGAGGGAGAGCCAGATGCGGCCGAAGGCTGTGGAGTACTTGTTGACGCCGCTGAGGAGCCCCTCGAACACCCCCCAGTTCATGGCTCCCCAATCCTGTCAGCCAGGCTGGGAAGAGAGAAGACACTGTGACACTGAAGAAGCAGCAAGAGGTCCCCTTCGGAGCCCCTGTGTGCCGCAAAGCACTGAGCCATGCTCCTGGCACCATCTCTGACTTGTGCTGCCACACCGGGACACCACTGACAGCACAGACCTGGTCTGGGTGACACGTCTCCTCCAAGCATTGTCCCCCACTCTGGGAACATGGGGACCTGACAACGCTCGTGGTTTCTGCTGCAGCCACAGCATCCTCCAGCCACCGCCACCTCCGGTGCACGGCTCAGCCCCCATCCCGCCCCAGCTCCCGCCTCGTTGCCCAGGTATTTGGTATTAATTTTCCTTACGTTGCCAGGCATGGCTCAGGCAGACAACACATAGGAGCAGCCGGGGCGTGACTCACCCAGCTGTGCATCCTCTCCCATCACTGGAATCTGCGAGGAGCCCTGTGCCACTGCTCCATGCCCCATGCCGTGCCCACGCCCCGGGGAGCCCCACGGCAGGGCAGAGGCAGCGGCTGGGCTGGGGGGGCTGCACAGGGCGGGCTGCACAGCCCCTGCAACGCCGAGGAGCTGCCGTGGGGCCGGGCAGCCAAAACAACCAATTTTCACCAGCCCCAGGCCCCTGCGTGGCCGATTTGACCCCCGCTTGCATCGTGCCAGATAAACGCGCCCCATGCGCCGTGGAGCTGCAGCAAAGCAGGACTCCCAGGGCTGCGTTTGGCGCTGGATCTCCTTAAATATTTTGCCTACCAGTGAAATAACAAGATCCTCCCTCGCTGAGGGGCGAACACATCCCCTGCTCTGCACAGCTCGCCCACCTGCAGGCCTGGAGTGGCTACGGACACTCCCGGTCCCGCTCCCTCCCGTGGGAGCCGGTGGCGCTCATCTCACGGTGCCTCCCGGAGGAATGTGTAAACCCCAGATTCCTCCTTCCACGGCACGCTGCCGGCAGAAGCGCAGGCCATGCCCTTCTCCCTGGTGTCAGGTTGGGCAGACGCACTTCCCCAGCGCCCTCCCCACCTCCTCGGGGCCGGGGGTCACGGCAGAGGGGGTCCCCAAGGCCTCTCACCTGCGGGTGTCCCTACGCGGTACTGCTGCGGGTCGGCGCCTGCCCAGGGCAGGAGCGCATCGCCTGGCGCAAGAGACAGCACATGAGTCACCCCCGCGCTCCTGGGAGCGAGGAGGAGATTCCCGGGGGAAGGGATGGAGGCTCCAGGCAGATCCCCACGTGCCCCATGGAATGCCACATTTCCTGAGGCGAAGGGCGGCCCCGCAGCGCTGCCGTGCAGGGAAGGGCTGAGCGCTCGGCCGTGGGGAGGGGTGGGAGCTCAGGGCTGTCTGTCCTCAGCTTCTGCAGGGATGATCAGCACAACCTAGGGTCCCTCCATTCCTTCGCTGCACCCATCTCCCCTTTCTCCAAAGTGGCCAAAGCCCTGAGAGTCCCTGCCCGCCGCACTGGGAGCCTCTCAGCTGGACACCGCCCTTTATAATCCTTTTTTATTGAAACTTTGCACCATGGCAAAAATTTAGCAGAGCCTTTATCCCTCACCACCCTCTGATAAGTGGGTGGCAGTTGATAATTTCACTGGCAATTAATTAGCTGCTTACCTGTGCTCCCCTCACCTGCAAGCTGCCACAAATCTCTTCCCCATCACCCCTCCTGGATCCCAGAATGTGGAGCCCACCCAAGATGCACCCTCATCTCAGAGAACTTCTTCTTTGAGGTCTGACCCCCATCTCACAGCTGTGGGGTGCAGGGATGGGGGTCAGAGGGGAGGGGGTCCAAGGAGGCTTGGGGTGCAGGAGTTCAGGTACAGCTGGAGTCATCTGAGGAGCAAACACACGTTTCATTTGCAATTCTGCTGGGGTTTAGAAAAAAATGTAGACAAACAAATCTAAACAGCTGTAAAGTAAATTACCAGTGTTTGCGGATGGCTCCGGGGAAGAGTTCTGCAGTTTGAAATCAAACAAGCCCATTTTTATTTTTTTTTGACATGCCTGTGTAGTGGCTGTGCTGGGGAAGGGGGTTCCCCGGGGCTGTGTCCCCCATGGACAGGCAGGGGGGGCCCAGAGCAGCACCCATCCACCAGCACTCTGTGCTGGGTGGGAGCATGTTCTGCCCCACGTTTCCCTAATTTTGTGTGTGTCAGAAGTGGCTCTTTGTGTCTTTCTGGGTTAAAATCCCCTCTTTTGGGGTGCTGCCACGTGTGATGGGCAGTTTCTGCTCTGGGTAGAAGGGGTAGGCCCCCTCCATCCCTCCACAGGTGAGTCTCCAGTGCAGGGGACACAAAGGTGTATTAATGGCAGCACTTCATCTTCCAGGAACAAGCCCCATTAGTACATTTTCACTACAACATGAAATATTAATAACACTTTGCATTTATATAGCGTCATTCATCCCGCAGTCACCAGCCAAGCGGCTGACATGAATCAAACACCACGGCCAGCTCTGGAGGAGACAGGTAAACAGGATCAGACCCATTTTCCTGCTGCACACACTGAGGCTCAGGGTTTTCTCCAGGTCACCGGTGCCACTGAGGATGTTTTGGAGGAAATAAACCCAAACACACAAGGCCAGGGACTGCTCTGACCTGGACTCCCTCCTCCTCCAGCTGCTGCAACTGGTATTTGCTGTTCCTGATACTGTGCTGACAGTGCAGGGAGGGGAGTTAGGAAAGCTGTCAGCCCATGGAGAGGCAGGCCCTGACACAACCCGAGGGCTCCGGCAGCATGAAAGAGCAAGCAGAAAACCAGTGGGGAAAGAAAGGGCTCTTTTCATCTTATTAACGAGCCTTGTATTTAAACCCTCCTCCAGCTCCGTAGCACAGGATGATTGTGAAGGCTTTTACACACCAGCTCAGCCGGACTCGCTGCTGCTGTCGGAGATGCCGCATGCAGATGCTGGTTAGCAGGGCAGAATCCCGTGACTGATGATGGATAAGGACAGACAAACAAGTCCTGGGCAAAGTTCCGGCGCGCTGCTGAGAGGCAGGGAAGGGGTGTGCGCACAGCCTGGCAGCTCACTGCTTGTTGTCCCCAGTTCCATTGTTATTCCATGAAGAAGCCACCTTGTTTGCAGATAATTAAAAAACCCCAAACAGATTAGTGAAAATTAAACACCCAGAGCTGGCTGGATGTTGGCTCAGCCACCGGAGAGTCATATGAGCATCTCTGTCTGCTGCTTCCAAACTGGCCTGGCTCAGCCCCGGGACCCCCTTTCCTCAGCCTCATAGCTCCCCACTGCCCTGCCAGCTGCATTCCCCATCCCACGGGATTGTTTGGAAGTTCTTCCATGGAAAATCTGTGTTTGAGGACTGTCTGGATGAGAGCAGGCA